ATGTTGCTCTTTTAAAGTTCTAGCTATTGACAGTTAGATGATCTGCCTTAGTTAAGATTTTTATTGCTGTGAAGAGACTCCATGACTGTAGCAACTCTTGTAACGGAAAGTGTTTCATTAGGGGGGCTCCCTTACAGTTTCAGAGGCTCTGTTCATTATCATCATGGCAGGGAGCATGACGGCAGTCAAGGTGCTGGAGGAATAACTGAGAGTCCTACATCTTGCAGGCAACAGGAAGTCAACTGAGACATTGGGCAGTATCCTGAGCATAGGAAACCTCAAAGCTCACCCGCGCACAGTGACACACTTCCTCCAACAAGGCCACACCCACTCCAACCAAGCCACACCTCCTAATAGTGCCGCTGCCTATGAGATGATAAGGGCCAAGCATCCAGGCTACCACATGATCACAAAGTTCTTTCATTCATTCGAGGAGCCCGCTATAGGCGGAAACAATGACTGGGCTTCGAAGTGGTGCTGGATCACTCTGGTCTGAGTCGGGCTCCTACTCTCTGGCCAAGTCTCCTTTTGTGTTTGTGCCTGTGTGTAACCAGCACCTCCTTATAGGGCCCTTTGAAGGTAAGTGTGTCAGTGTGCACCTATGACTCTGGGTCTTTGGGGACAGACCAGGCATTTGAAGTCTCTTAAACAAAGTAAAAGTACAGGTTCCACAGGCAGCCCCAGAACCGAGGCTGAACCACCTTCCCATACGCTAGGCAGATGGTAAAAGTCAGAGGGAGACTTGTTCAGTGTGGTCACATCAGGTAAAGGAACAAATAAGGTCTACTGACTCCAAGTCTGCCTCAGAGCGCTTGATATAAGATTTACATTTATCTCCAGGGAGAATGGGGACAAGAGGCAAGAGGCATATGCATAGTTGGGCTACGCTGGTCAATGTGCGGTCTGGTCATCATTGTCTCAGTTCTGGTTCTATGGGGGTCTGCAGAAGCCCTTATTGCTGGGGCGGGTGGTTCTCAGGAGATGCCTACTTCTATTTCAGGCTATAGCCTGACCCTCATAGATTATTGCCTTCATGCAAGAATAGGGGTGCAGTGTAGGAAGTTAGGGGGTTGGAGAGTTGTCATGAGGGCTTTCCTCTTCCTGAGACTCCCAGTGACTTCAGGTCAGGTCAGGACAATGACATCACTGTGCCATTAGCCTTGAAAGGACATGAACTAGGTTAGACAGAGCTCTGTGAGTGGCTAAGGGGCCAAACAGAAGCAGTAAGCTGAGGACCCAAAGCAGGAGGGCACAAGAGACTGGACTGTCATGTTTCACCCCACTTTAAGTTGCCTTGTGGGCCCAAGGGAGGAGTCAGGCTTGTTAGCAGAAGCAGTCCTCTGTTTCTGCGCATGTCCATACCAGCTAGCCGGGGTTCCTTATTCTGTGTCCCAAGAGAAGCGCCACACTGGGTCTTAGACCAGGGACTCGGAGCTTCTGTGTGCCCGTTCTTAAAGTTTGGGCCTTAGGACCCTTTGTACCCTAAAAGTGGCACCAGGGGCCTTTTATTACTTATTTGTTATATGTGTGTATCATATAAATTTTTGAAAGTAAAACTTTTAGTGAATGGTTCATTTAAATAAGTTATCACAAATGACTTAAAAGGGAGTTTTATTTTTAATTTTGTGTATGTCCGTGTGTGTAGGAATGTACACATGAAAGCAGATGTCTCCAAAGGCCAGAAGAGGGTGGCAGTTCCCTTGTAGCTAGAGTTACCAGAAGATGTGAACACTGACTCATGTGGGTGCTGGGAACTGAACTACGGTTCTCTGCAAGAGCAATATGGTTCTTAACCAATGGGCACTTTTTAAACATTTTATTTCTATTTAACTCTGTGTGTGTGTGTGTGTGTGTGTGTGTGTGTGTGTGTGTTTGGTATGTCTGTATGTGGGTATGCATGTATGATTGAGTGCAGGAAGACATGACACTTTTAGGGAAAGATGGTCTTTTTTAAACCCCTTAGCTAATTGGCATTGCTTTACATTGATGTCTGCTCTGATAGACGACAGCTACTCTCCATGCGGCTTCTGCCCTCTCTCTGTTTCCTCTGCTTGGCCTGGACTGGAGTGTGTGAAGGAAACAGCCGTTCTCATCATTTCAGAGATCAGTGATTCATGGAGACTTAGGGTCTTTATGTAGGGATCTGAAAAGACCATATGGAAGGAACCTTAAAAAGGAAGCCCGGAAAAGGACTTAGCAAAAGTTTGACCTTCACAATACTGACTCATCTTAGAGCAGTGGTGGGGCTGGGGTCTAAGGAAAAGAAATGGGTCTGCAGGGACCAGGACAGAGGTTCCTGCCGTGGGTGCTGCTGGCAACCTGGAAATTACCACCCGGAGTGCAGAGGGAGCCTTGGTGGCACCAGGAAGAGCTTCAGTAGTCTGGGTCATGCATTTCTCCCCTCATAAATGTGGAGCGATTTTTTTTCCCTCTCCTGCAGATTGCACCACCATGATAGGCGAAGTGTAACTGGCAATTCTTATAAATGGGGATTGAGCTGTAGAAAGGCAAAGGGAAAGATAAAACTATGTACTGTTTGGATTAAGCTTAAACCTACTGCAAGCAATTTCAAAAGCCAAAGTTGAGGGTTGGAATCTAAACACTTCTTGCAAAACTCTTATATATATAATTAGCTCCTTCAGCCTTCTCCGCCCCCTTCTAAAGCAAGGCGATTCTATTTCCTTCTAAGTCTGGTCACACGTCCCTCCTCTGAACTGCTGGCCTCCGCTTGGCAGAGCCTCAGGTCAGCACACTGCCTGGTGTCTCAGTCCGCTCCCTGGCAACTGTTAGGTGAGCGAGCAACTCTTCTACAGTACTGGAGAGAAGGTCCCAGACGTGGCTGTTAACAGCAGTTACGGTTTTCTTGTGGAGCGAAATAATTTGCCTTCAACATTTGCTTCCGTTTCCTGTTCTGCATTCATGAAAGGAAATGGACATCCGGGTAGTGGGAAAGTGGATAGGGATACTCTAGCTCACCCAAAATGCTCTGAAAATTTGAGTGCAGGGGCACACTTCATTGTAGAGACCAAAGGACCCTGTTTTGGCTTCTGCCTTTTCTTTCAGCAGCCTGTCACAACCCACCTCTTGCTCACTGCCCTTGAGGGGACTACACTAAGTAGGTTGGGCCTCCTTTGTGCCCCTTCCCCCTCCCCTCCATCTGTTCAAACTGTTAGCCAAAACACGCTGGATCTTGTACTTCAGGGGAGTGTGGGGCGGGGGTTGAATGTCATCTTTCTTGTGGAAATCTTGTCACTTCATGGTCTGCTGGAGTTTTTGAGACTGCACCACGGCATTTGTGTGCTGAATACTTCCAGTGTCAACATGGGTTGCCTGCAGTCATTGTGTGAGTCCATAACCTCACAATGTAAGGTATGCACCCGGCACCTCCCTGCCTCCAGGCACACGGGGAAGACCAATCCCCTCTGCCCAGGGCACTGATCTGTTGGGAAGAATGAACCCTTAGGTGAAGTAGGATCTCAGGGTGGGTCTTCAAAAAGGTTTCCTGTTGGCTTTCAGCTCAAAGTGGATTGGAAATGACAGCTTCATTCTGTACTCAACCGGAAGCATGGGTTCTCTCTAAAGGGGCCAAACATGAAGAATGTCCTTCCTACAAACTGTTTATCTTTCTGTAGCTTCTAGAAGGTACAAGATTATCATCAGAGGTTGTTTAAGTTCCTTTTTAATCAGGCAGGGCTGTAAGTGTCCGAAATGATACCATATGAGATTTCTGTTTGTTTACTGTGTGGGGCCAGGAGGTACGGACATTCTTAAAAAGTGTGAAATGTCCTCTCTCCTGCCCAGTTCCTCTTCCTCTTTTGTATTCATATACAATTTATGGTGTGTTTATTTATGCAAAATACGTGATGCCGCTTAAGGTATTATAAATGGGGAGGTTGGAAGGAACAAAGCAAAAGTACCCAGGCAGGATGGCGGGACATTGCCGGTGGGCATCAGGTGGGCATCAGTTTGGACTGGAGGCTAGAGGGAAGCAGGAGGTACAGCCTGTCTGGTTATGGAGGCTTGTTTAAACTCAGGAGAGCAGATAAGGTTTTGTTTGTGCTGTTGTGCCCCTTCCTTTGGGTTTCGTAAGGATAAGGCTGTACCTGCCCATCATGCCCCTCCCCCCCGCTTCAACCCTAGGGTACCAGGAGCGCTGCAGGAAACCCACAGGCCAGATTACAGGTGGGCCAGGCCCCCACGATGCTGGCAGGAACTGATTCTTTGGGTATGATCTGAGTGTTGAATTTACTAGAATTAAAGGTGGACCACTCAGGGTTGGATTGGTCTAAGACGCCCATCCTGTGGACCTGCCCAGGATCAGATAGACCTCTAGTGAGTGGCGGAGTGAACTTGAAAGGGGTGTCGTACTGCAACTTTAATGACTCCACTGCAGCAAAACACACCTCAAGATAAGTGTCCTTTTTGTGGAACATCTTGGTCAGGACCACGCCTGACCTGCCTGGTGATACCTGTACCGGTTAACAAGTGACTGACTTGCCTGGTTGTTGCTTAGGGCAGGAAGTGCTTTGTTCTGCCCTGACTGCACACAGACTCAGAAGGTACTGACTCTTGAAAGAGAATATGGAGACTGTGTCAGGACAAAAAACACTTAACTCCAGGATGTACAGAAAAAGCTATATGATCCATTATGTTAGCCAGGACCCAACTGAGAAGCACAGATAGTAAGAAATAGATCCTGTACTCTCAGGGTGGGGTGAGCAGAAATCTCTCAGTGGCAACACTGTGGTGAAAAATAGCTCCATGTGTACATAATGAAGTAATATTTTAATACTCGGCTACATAAATGGATTATTAAGATTAATTTTTCCCTTCATTCTTAACGTTGTAATGCAGACGCTGGAAGAAGTAAAGTAAGTGGCTCGCACTGCATTTGTATGGTACAGCTCTGCTCTAAACATGGAGACTGGAACAAAGGGCTGAGGCACGAATCCCTGCTGATCCCTAACTCCTGTGTTCTCTCTCTCATTCTTTTTCAACAGATACGACTCCACGTAGCATGAAAAGGACTATATTAGTCACCCGTTCCTTTCTTTCCCTCTCCTATATAAGTTTCCATTTCTTTTTACACTTGCTTGCCCAGCCGTCTGTAGTACAGCAGATTCAGGTGTCTGAGCTGTGTAGAATTGGTGTGTACAGATGCGTGCTTGGATCTGTCTCCTAAGAACTGGAAGGAGGTGGTTACAAAATACCCACTCTCTGCTCCAAATCATTCCCACTCCTCGGCCTGCAGGGTTGCGTGGTCTAGGGAGGTCCCTGCAGCGCACTGACCCCTTGGAATGGAAGGAACGCCCTGTTGTGCCATCCTTGAGGGGACAACCAAGTGCTGCGACCGTGCTCCGCCTCGACTGTCTGGTTTCCTGTAAAATAAACACATCACTTTATATTTTTAGGGAACAAAAAAGTGCTGCTATAGGGTTCAAAATTTTCATTCTGAACACTTTTCCAAAACCAACCCCAGAGAGCGTTTTAAATACCCTGGTCATATCTTTGGATCTGTAAAAATATACCTTTTAGTATGGGCATCTGCTAAAATGCAAAGCAGATTTCTTCAAGGCAGAAAAAACAGTTTGACAGGAGCAGTGAAGAATTTGCTCATTCGGACACATCTCTGAAAATGTGAAGAGACACACAATTCACCTCCGAGCTGCTTGCTGGCGAACCTGCAGTGACTAGTCTCTGCCAGACCAGTTGTTCGAACATCATGCCTGTAGAAGTGTTGGAAACGCTGCAGAATTGGATGAGTGGAGATGGGGATGCTCCCCCCTTCTCACCGCTTCCTCCTGATCCCCTGGAACCTGCCCTGGGATGGCCTGTGCTCTAACGAATCATCATGAGCTTAAGAAGATGTCCCTAAAGAAAGCCAGCATCATTCCAGTAGCGGGGAAAGTCACGGATGAGAGGTGTGCCTGTCTGTGAATTCGTTTTCATTGTAACCCATCATTGCAAACTGCTCATTTGAATTGCTCTGGCACCAAATAGGCTTTTTCTTCTCTGCACAGTTAGGGGATGAAAAAAGCAATATAACTGGATTCTTTTTTTAACATTGAGTTATAACTTTATTGAGATCCGTGAATCTAAAAGTGATTTCCTTACTTCCAGCTGGGCTTACTAAAAGGATCAGTTGCCAAGTGGTAGACTTGCAAGCGAAACGGACAGGTCTAAGTAAGTCAGGGCCATGTGCTGCTATTTGTTTTCATAAGTTTGAGGGTTAGTTAGTAACAGCCCCGCCAATCTCAGAGAAATCATCCATCCTGGCATCTTTATGTGCCCCAAAAGTGTAAGCTCGCACTGTCTCCGCCAGCTGGCGCCACTGAGTCAAGCCTATGCCAGGGAGGCATTGGGCTGTCTCACGGCTGCGAGGGCGGGGATACAGGGTGTAGTCAATGTGTGTGCTCGTGCACATGCACGTGTGAAATAGAGTGCCACGTACATTACCTCTCAGATTCTTTTTGTATAGCCTTTCCTTAACAAAGCAGCGTCGCTTTGACTCATTTGTTAGATGTCATCCTTTAGACATGCGTTTGTTTTTAACTAGCCTTGGAAAGAAGGCACCTTCTACTGAAGTATTTATTTCACAGAGATGGTTTTTTTGTCTAACTGTGCTCCCTTGGTTTAAGTTTGTTGCCACCGTCTGCTCAGCATAACTGCTTGGCTGTTGTTCAGAGTCTGTGGGTCCTTCGCAGGGCAAGTTTGCAAACCTCATCAGGTCCTGACTGATGCTGATTAGAAGCTGGCTGTCTATACTTGCCCCTGGCTTTGGAAGCTGAAATGGTGGCCTGTTAAGAGGACTACCAATCAAATGCTTCTCGTCTGTAGGACCTGCTATTGTCTTTTAGACAACTGTGCTACATTGCGTTTGGAAATTGGGCGTAGGTCAGTAATACCCTGTTCTTGGCTTTCATTAATACCCATTATAAAATGGATTATTTTAGATTCTTTCTAAAGCAATTTCCCCCTAGGTTCCCGTTTTCTACTTTTGGAGAATTGTGGGGCACTTTCAAGCTTCAAAGGACAGCTCTCATTTGTAGTTCCCGTTGCTTGATCTCTACAAGGGTCTTACAAAATTCGCTGTACTTTTATTCACGGAGAAAGTTGGCTTTGATGTCTTTTAGAGATAATTCTGCTAGTTGCTGATCAGCCAGTCAGTTCATCTAGCGCCAGTCTTTATAAGACCTCTAATCTAATTTTCTCACACTGTGACTAAAAGCCAGGCACATCATTGGAACAGATTATATAGTTTATTCAAGTCCCTCAATCTCACTTTGACTATTAATTCTTTTATCAGGACAGTCTACTCTCAGGCTGCTTTTAAAAAAGGCCATGTTTATAAAAATTTTCATTGTTGAATGACTATTGCATCCTATATTCCAAACGTAAAAAACCCACCTCTGAACAGCAAATGGATGGTTACATTTTTGGTCATATGCTGTATGTGGCTGGTGTGTATGTCAACGTGTACTCTGAATAACTTACTATTTCATGCCCACTTCTTGAACGTTTGTGCTGAGATGCGGTTTATACAGATACCCTCCACCTGCAGGACCGTGGGGTGCTGACCGTGAGCGTCATCATGTTTGAGACTCAAAGCAGCAGCTGCGTTTCTTAGAGAATCCTGCAAGTCCATATCACCTCTTCAAAGGTCGAGCAGTTTGCTCTGTTGGGCAGCAGGTAGTATAACAGTAAGAGGCGGTAAAACTTTTAAAGCCTCTAGAATCGCATGGTGAAGAAAATCAGGATTTGTATACGTGCTAGAATAGATGAAGGGATAAGAATGTTCATCCTGAATAGATCCAGTGACTCCTCGAAGCCATTGAGTTCATGGGGAGAGGTGATTTTTCGGTCTCAGCACGCTACCAAGACTTCACCAGAGCGGGAAGGTTTTTATGTGCTTTCCTTTTCTAGAAAAGAACTCTAGGAGCATAATGCCTCAACAGTCCTTCCTTTGAAGGACGGGCGTCATTGGGACTCTAGGTGGAAGGCATTGGGGGAGCTTGTCATTAGTGCAAGTTTGTTTCCGGGCAAGTTTCACTTCATTGTCTCATCCTGCCGAGCTTGAGCGAGCTAAAGAGTCACCACTGTTAAAAACTGCCATAACTTAATCTTGAGTTTTTAAAAGAATGTTGAGTAAGGACCAGATAACTGCCAAAGGGGGCACCATTCTCTGAGGTCTGTTTAGTCACTGAAAACTGGTCATCACTTCTAAACGTTTGCCATGTGTGCAGCTTCAAGGGGAACAGGGCTCTGTAGAATTCTGTGTCTAGTTTGTGAAGTGTCATGTCTACTGAAGAGTCGTGTTCTCTGGGCTTGATGTTCTGTACAGTAGAGTTCATTAAGAAAAATTGTGGAGAAACTTGTGTCTGTGGTTTGATGGGGAGAGTGGCAATGTGTATTAAATAGCTATCCTGTGAGATAGAAATGTCCCCCAAAGATCTGGAAGTAACCCCCTCCCCGGCCCTTGGAAAACTCTGGTTATCTCCTAGGTTCTAAATGAAGATGTACGGATACTCTGGCAGACTGCATGTTGTATAATTTGAAAATACTCAAAACTGGACAATAAAACTGAGTTAAACTTTGACTGGTCTGGCGTCCTTGTTTGAGTCTCAGTAGGGCATCTGACTTGAGGGCGGGAAGTTTGTGTTGGAATGAATCTTCTTTTGACAGAAGTTCATTACAAAGGAACAGCCTCTCAGCAGGTAGTACTACCTAAATCAGCTTCACTCTCTCTCTTTATCTTTCTTCCTCCTCCTCCTCTTCATTGGCTTGATATCTGCTTGAATTTGCCCAGTAAAACTAAAATAATAAAAAATAATATTTCTACCTTTATCTCTGAAAAAAGTATGGATTTTTAAATGTTATTTCTCATCAGAGTGGCAAGATTAATGATGGAAGGATTTATTTTGGTTCCTGGTTTCAGAGTGTCTCCACTGTAATAGGGAAAAGAGGCTTAGGCATGGCAGCCGGGGTACCTGCCAACATCACGGTTACCAGGAAGGAGAAAAAGGAGGCTGGAACCCCAGGCAAGTATAACCCTCATGCTCCCTAGTGACCTGCTTCAGTCAACTGGGCTCCACAGCCTTCGAAATGATACTCCACATGGGACAAGTGCTCAAAGCATGAGCCTATAGGGGGACAGTTAAGATTCAGATGGTAACATTAACTATGTAACGGCAGAATCAAATCAAAGCTCATTAGACCAGCAGGAAAATGGCCGAGTTTCTTCTTGCCTGAGAAAAACGCCTGTTGTCATGGTGGGCATTGTGCCCTGCCGTCCTTCATCTGAGGAATTGAGTCCTGTTTATGCTGAATGCCTCCTGCTGTCGTTTGAGAATGATTGAGCCAAGTGTAATCATGTTTTGTGTTGGTTTTTGGTTTTACGGTAGAAATCTGAACTCTCATAAGAAGACACTAGAGTGTGAGGCTTTTGGAGAAGACCAACGACAGACTACAGGATTATCTGCTGAATAAGGTTTTTCTAAAGAGAGAAATATTTCCTGCCTCTGGTCGCCGGGGTCGTGTGACTACACATGGACCTGCATGTGTAAAACGTCTTGTTCTTGAGGTTTTGTTGATGTTGCTAATGGTGCATGGGCGCCAGATGATAAACCTCTTTGCTTTAATCAATTAAAAATGGAAGAGATGAACGATGGAGTGAAGGTGTATACACACACACACACATACACACACACACACACACACACACACACACAGCTCACAACCCTTTGTAACTCCAGTTCCAGGGGGGTCTCATGACCTCTTCTGGCCTTTGGGGGCCCTGCATGCACGTGGTGCATAGATAATACATGCAGGAAAAACAACCATATAAAATAGTAAAATGATTTAGAGAATTTTTAAATGGAAAAGATGACTGTGGGCACTACAAATGGTCTGCTTTTTATGATGTTTCTCCATCTGTCTAGAAATTATTCCCCACATAACTCAGAAGAGGCCCTATCCAGACAGGACCTTGTTGAAGGCTAACTCGATCGCTGTTTAAGATGAGAAGCAGTCCTCTGAAATGAACAGACCACAAAGCACATTTCAGTGTCAGCAAGGTGACCCCACAGATGAGGAGTGAGGTTCTGTTCCACAGTGGGGCTACCATGGCAGTTCCTAGAAGGAGGTCTTCCTCCAGGTCTCCTGTCCCTGGCCCTGACCTGTCCTTAAGCTTTTCCCATAACCTCTGAGCGTCCTCAGGACAAAGTGAACCGAGAAAGTATCTGTCATAGCAGGCACTGGTGGCATTAGCGTGGCCGGTGTGATTCTGACATTTGTGACAGCCATGTCTTATAATGTGTCTACGGTACATAACACACTGAACAGAAGCAGAGGGGCTTGCTCTGACGCCCGAGATGACAATGTGGGGTCCCTGACAAGAGGCCTCTTGAACTCTGGGATTGACTCTCTCCTTGGCATTTGGTGGTTCTTCATCCAGTCTGCAAAGAAGACACCAGTTTCTGTGTGGTTAGTTGAGCTCATGACCATTTTTAAAAACCTAGGTAGCCACTGTTGGAGGCCTCTCCTCCCTACGCCTTCAGCGACAAAGGCTGGGATTCCGCGTTTAGTCTGCTTGCCTGTGTAAGGTGTGGTTTGGTTTGGTGTTTGAGTCCCAGATAACATAGAACCTTCCATACCCTCACCAAATCCTTGATGGAACTGAAAAAGAGCCTCACCATACAGCCCTTAAGATTTATGCAGAGCAAAAATGTGAGTGCTACAGACTGCGTAAACTAGGGAAATCTACAAACTTGTTTTGGGTGACATGTGACAGCGTCAGGAACTTAAAATACCCAGAAAGCCACACTAAGCAGTCAATTAATTCGCAAGAGCAGTCTGGCTGTGTGCCAGGCACTATTTTAAGTGTCTTACATGTATTAATCCATCTAATCCTTCCAATAACCCCATGAGGTAGGCGCTGCTGTCTCTTTTCACAGGTGAGGAGAGGGCACAGAGGGGTTAAGTAGCCTCCCCAAGTTCTCACAGCCAACAAGAGGAGCAGCCAGGATTTAAAGCCTAGTTCTGAGGCTTGTTTGCTCAACAGCTTGCAAAACTGCCCCTCATAGCGATGATTGTGTAAGTGTGTGTTTCACAGATGGATAAATAACCAACAACGAGTCCCAGGGACCCCCCTTTTTTTAAAAAAAAATTAAGAATGTATATAAAACTTTATACTTGAGTAGATTTTCACAGGAAGTGAAGACAACCTCATGGTTTGAATGACTTCAACCGGTTATAGGAAGACTTGGATATGCAAGGTTGCCTGCAGACCCTGAACTCTGGGCTTGTGACAGAGGCTACACCAGCAGCCACCAGTAGTACCCTTGTGCCTGGAAGAACCTTGTTAACACAGCGCACGCTCAGCAGTGTGTCAGTGATTGTCACAGCTTGTCTACTCTTGTGCTTGTAAAGTGTAACATTACACAGAAGTTTTTCTTTTCAAAATGGTCATCTCTGCATTTAAAGTATGAAACACAGTTCTTTGCTTAAGTCAGAAGGATCAGCACACTCTTGCCCTCCCTCCACAGGCTCCTGAGGAAGGTCTAGTGGTGCTGGACAGTGTTTCCCTCGTCCCCGCAGATGTGGGAGGCCCCTCTAGAGGTAACCTGTGCATCCCCGGCTGAGAGCTGCTGCTCCATCCCCTGACCTGTCAAAATGATTAATTGGATTTCATCTTAGAGCTTAAGTTTTAGAAAACGCAAACATGCCAATCATACCACACATGTACCCGCAAGTCCAGCTACAGGAAGGGGTGGAAACAAAGTGGGGTTCCCTCACAAGCTCCCCACTTAGCCACAAACTCCCATTACCTGTGCCTGTCCTGGGAGGACTTTTCTGAGGAGCTGTCAAGACTTGGCCAGGGCACACTGGCTGCAGATAGTGGCTGGCGGAATGCTGACTCCTTCACCAGTTCCGGCTCTTAGCTCCAGTGTCCTTGCAGATACAAGACCCTCCTAGAGTATAGATATATAGTATTGGGCAGTGATTCTACAGACTGATTCCACCATAGAAAGGAAGACAGACTTGACCCTGGAGCCAACTCTGAGACTATTTGGCCAGCTACAGGAGCACAATCAAGCGTTTAACCCTGCAGACTCAAAGACCTCACGAGCACACCCGAATTACTAAGATTTAGCTCACTGCCACCTGTATATTTCTTTGTGTTGTAGGGGTTGAACGAGAATCCATAGGAAAGTATTTTGTAATGGCGCTGCTTGAATCCAAGTGAGCGCTAATATCACAGCTAGAATAGACATTTTCACCGTGAACTCCAGCTATTGCCTTCTATGGATCTCCCCCAACACTTAGGAGAAGAACACACAATGGATGGGGCCTTGGGAATCACTGGCTCCCACCCAGTGAAATCCAATCTCTCGTTGTCCTCTGTCTAGAGGCTTCCATATTCTTTTCTGGTCAGCTGGGGGTGTTACAAGGAAGTGTCATAGACTGACTGGGCGCACACAGGGCATCTATTTCTGACCATTCTGGAGGCCGGCCGTCCACCATCAGGATGCCAGTGTGGATGGTGTTATTCCTTTTTAAAGATATAGGTGGGGAGGGACTGGGGTCCCACAAGGGGTGGCACCGGGTGACCCGAGACCTAGGTGGGTCCCCCAGGCCTTGGCGAGTCCCCTGAGGCCTTGGCGGGTGGGAGACTGCAACGGGTGAGAGGCAGGCAGATACATTTAGAGTTTATTTAGTGGGTTATGGCGGGAAAAGGAAAGGAGAGAAGGAGGAACAAGAGAGAGAGGGAGAAAGAGATGTGAGGGGAGAGAGAGAGAAGCAACAGTTACCTCTTCAGAAGAGAGATGGAAAGAGAGAGAGCATGGGGCTTGAGGAGGTGCAAGATCTGCTTGGGAGGTTGGGAGAAGGTGGGGTTTGTCTCTTAAAGGGACTGGAAACCCAGGTGATAGAACAGGCCAGCAGATCCTAACAGATGGGGTCTGGTGAAAGCCTCCAAGCTTCATTCTTTTGACGTCTCTGGTGTCTTAACATCATGGAACAGGGACCCTCTGGAGATCTTTCCATAAGAGCACTCACCCCATTCATGAGGGCTCCATTCTAGTGACCTA